TGTTTCTAACTATAACATTGCATTTAATTAAAATTTTTAAAACTGGACTCACTGTTAGAAGTCAGAATACTGACTTTAAGGGGAAGTAGTTCCCAGGAAAGGGCATGCTTGATCAGGGTTCTAGTTTTAGAGATATGTTAACTTTGAAACTTTATCAAGTTGTACACATAACATTTGTACACTTTTTCATATATACATTATACTTTAATAAAAACTTTAAAACTATTACAAAATACATGACTTTGAACAGAAAGGATAAAGCTATATACAACACTGACTCAAATTTTGAAAAAAGTTTCAAATATACTTAAAAAAATCTGCCTGAAAAATTAAGGAAAAGTATCTGGGTGATGAAAAGGTTTTGGAAGTAAATAGTAGTGATGATTGTACAACATTGTGAATTTACTTAATACCACCAAATTGTACATTTAAAAATGGTCAAAATATTTTTTAAATTAGTGGATCTACCTATACACCAATAACAGACTACAAGAGAGCCAAATCAAGAACAAACTGCCATTCACAACTGCTACAAAGAGAATAAAATACCTAGGAATACAACTATCAAAGGATGTAAAGGACCTCTTCAAGGAGAACTACAAACCACTGCTCAAGAAAATAAGAGAGGTCACAAACAGATGGAAAAACATTCCATGCTCATGGTTAGGAAGAATCAATATTGTGAAAATGGCCATACTGCCCAAAGTAACTTATAGATTCAATGCTATCCCCATCAAGCTACCTATGACCCTCTTCACAGAACTGAAAAAAACCACCTTAAACTTCATATGGAACCAAAAGAGAGCCCACATCACCAAGTTAATCCTAAGCAAAAAAGAACAAAGCTGGAGACATCATGCTACCTGACTTCAAACTACATTACAAGGCTACAGTAACTAAAACAGCATGGTACTTGTACCAAAACAGAGATATAGACCAATGGACAGAACAGAGGCCTCAGAGGCAATGCCACACATCTGCAACCATCTGATCTTTGTCAAACCTGACAAAAACAAGCAATGGGGAAAGGATTCCCTGTTTAATAAATGGTGTTTGGAAAACTGGCTAGCCATGTGCAGAAAACAGAAACTGGACCCCTTTCTGTCACTTTACATAAAATTAAGTACAGATGGATTAAAGACTTAAACATAAGACCTAACACCACAAAAATCCTAGAAGAAAACCTAGGAAAAACCATTCAGGACATAGGCATAGGCAAGGACTTCATGACTAGAACACCAAAAGCATTGGCAAAAAAGCCAAAATAGACAAATGGTATCTAATTAAACTCTGAGCTTCTGTACAGCAAAAGAAACAATCATTAGAGTGAACCGGTAACCAACAGAATGGGAAAAAATTTTTGCCATCTACCCATCTGACAAAGGGCTAATATCCAGAATCTACAAAGAACTAAAACAGATTTACAAGAAAAAACAAACCCATTCAAAAGTGGGTGAAGGACATGCACAGACACTTTTCAAAAGAAGACATATATGAGGCCAAAAAACATGAAAAAATGCTCATCATCACTGGTCATTAGAGAAATGCAAATCAAAACCACATTGAGATACCATCTCACACCAGTTAGAATGGCGATCATTAAAAAATCTGGAGACAACATATGCTGGAGAGGATATGGAGAAATAGGAACACTTTTACACTGTTGGTGGGAGTGTAAATTAATTTAACCGTTGTGGAAGACAGTGTGGCAATTCCTCAAGGACCTAAAAATAGAAATTACATTTGACCCAGCAATCCCATTACTGGGTATATATCCAAAGGATTATAAATCGTTCTGTTATAAAGACACATGCACATGTATGTTCATTGCAGCACTGTTTACAATAGCAAAGACCTGGAACCAACCCAAATGCCCATGGATGATAGACTGGACAAGGAAAATGTGGCACATATACACCATGGAATACTATGCAGCCATAAAAAACAATGAGTTCATGTCCTTTGTAGGGATGTGGATGAAGCTGGAAACCGTCATTCTCAGCAAACTGACAAGAACAGAAAATCAAACACTGTGTGTTCTCACTCACAGGCAGCTCTTGAGCAATGACAACACCTGGACACAGGGATGGGAGCATCACACAGCAGGGTCTGTTGGAGGAGAATAGGGGAGGGACAGTGGGGAGTAGGGATGTTTGGGAGGTATAACTTAGGGAGAAATGCCAGATATAAATGACAGGGGGATGGAGGCAGCAAACCACACTGCCATGTATGTACCTATGCAACAATCCTGCATGTTCTACACATGTACCCCAGAATCTAAAGTGCAATAAAATATATATATATTTTTTAAAAATTAGTGGATATAAACAATGATGGTGATGGCTATCTCAATGGTGAATCTACAGATTAGTTTTAATGTTTTTCTTTTAATCTATTTTTACAATGAATTTATATTCTGTAATCAGAAAAAAATGTTTTGTAATCTCAAAGATATGGTTGAAAAGAACCACCATTGTTGCCAGGAGTGGTGATTCACACCTGTAATCCCAGCACTTTGGGAGGCTAGGCGGACAGATCACTTGAGGTCAGGAGTTTGAGACTAGCCTGGCCAACATGGCGAAATCCCATCTCTACTTAAAATACAAAAATTAACCGGGTGTGGTGGCACGTGTCTATAATCCTAGCTACTTGGGAGGCTAAGGTGGGAGATTCACTTGAACCTGGGAGACGGAGGTTGCAGAGAGCTGAGGTAGTGCCATTATACTCCAGCCTGAGCAACAGAGTGAGACTCTGTCTCGAAAAATAAAAGAACTACCATTGTAACTGAGAAATAGATGATCCCATTAACAGTTTAGAAAATGTATAGAACTCTAATACACTTACAAGCAACTCATGGTTTCCCTTCAAAGGACACATGTGGAAAATTAATCTGAACAGTTAATGCAAGAAGGAGTCAGATCTCAGAGGAAGGAGAAGATGTTCAATTCTTGATTATTAGAAGTAGAGGCCGTGAGACTCACATTTTTCTAGCATTTATTGAACACCTACTGTTTGCCTACAATCATACTAAGTACTTTCACATATCTTATTTCAGTTAATATGTTAGCTTATTCCTTCCCTTCCAAATGCATATTGAGCATCTACTTTACGCTCTGCACTATATTTGGAGTAAGAATTCATACATGCTCTCATGCCATTATGCAGCTTGCAGGCTAGTAAGAAAGCCAGGCATTAAATAAATAACTATGGTACTATAGAGTGAATGCTGAAGTTGACATATATCAAGTAGCATTTAATTTTGATATACACAGGTTCATCCATTCATTGGGTTACTAATATATGATGGTGTTACTAAAATAGTTTAATATTTGGAATACTCAGCTGAAACTCATTGCTACCTCAGAACACCAATATCAGGTAAACTGCCACTCATGCTACTCAAAAAAAAAAAAAAAAGGCAAAAGGGACTAAAACAAAAGGCAAAAATATATTTTTAACTGTATTTCTTCTGTCTCCACTTCTGGATATCAGTTTCCCCATACAAAAAAATGAGAATATTGGGCTGTTTGGCAAATGCAGCCCCCTTCCAGACCTGATATTCTGTGTAGATCTCTTCATTATAACAAAAGCAACTGTCACTGAAGCCTATTATGTGTCAGATACCACACTGAAAATTTTACATATGTTGTCTATGTAATTTCCATCTCTGTAATCCCCTATAAGGTAGGTGGTTATTCAGTGCCTCCAGAAGGAAAGTAACCTCAAAGACCCAGCTTATTTGTTAGCTGACTAGCTACATATTTCTTTTTTTCCCTAAATTATTTCTTTATACTTTTATTCTCAGCCTTCCTTCCACTTATGTTATTGTTTTTTCCCCACTAGCTTTTAATTTGTTTTATTCCCAGACACTCATAATTCACTAGTTTTTTAAATCTAATTCTTAATTCACTTATTTTTCTTATTTGATTTATAATGGCATAAGAATGTTAAGGCTATGAATTTCCTCAGGGCACTGCTTTGGATGAATCTCATAGATTCTAACATGAAATCTTTCTCAGGGTGCTAGACAAAAAAAGGTTTTAGTTATTTTTATAGATTCCAAGGTTATCAGGGACCTCAGAGACAATCTCCTTTTAATGGAATGTCTCAAATGTGAAACAATGTAATATAATGGTAAAACCTGTAATACTCAAGCCTGTGCTAGCCATGAGATCTTCCAACAGTTTACCCCACCTGCCTAAGTCTGTATTTCATCTGTAAAATGAAGGGTTTGGTCCATCTTGTAGATCCAGAAATGAATCACTAAGATTTGGCCAAATCCCATAGTGTGTTAGTGGTAAAGCCAGAAGTAGGACTGTGGTCTCCTTCTGCCAATAAGCCTGATATTTGAAGTTCTTTACATTTTTAAAAATTTTTCTTTTATTGTGGCAAAATATATATACAGTAACTTGCTATTCTTAAGTATACAATTCAGTGGCAGTAATTGTATTCACAGTATTGTTCAGTCATCACTATTTCCAGAACATTTCATCACCCTAAACAATTTTCCCATTCCATTTTGACATAAACATAGTAATCCAGTATTCTATAAACTGTGCAGTTGCTTCTACTTGAAAAATATATTTCTCAAGTATAAATATATCTCTGTGTGTGTTTATGTGTCTTTTCTGCATGCATCTAAAAGCTTTAATTCACACCCTAGAAAGATATCAATTGGGTATTTGATACGAATGTCTCTGATCACAAATATCTGAGCCCTTCAGTTTAAAAAAATGCCTTTTCTCCGTAGTTTACTATCAATTTAATAACATGTGTCATCAAAGTGGGATTTATTTTAATTAATTGCTTGTCAGGCTAATATTAAGAAAATGAAAAATACGTGATTCTATTGTCCAAGCATTAGGCTTGGTTAATAAATGAGGCAGTGACTTTTCAATGAATTTCTGGAAAGCAGCAGCTTTTTTTCTGGTCTCTTTCTCCCCCACTCTCCATAGTCCAGTCCATCCCACATTTTAACACCTGGTTTTTGCTCTCCTTAGGCCATCCGGCTGTCCTTAGAGCAAGCCCTGCCTCCTGAGCCAAAAGAAGAAAATGCTGAGCCTGTGAGCAAACTGCGGATCCGGACCCCCAGTGGCGAGTTCTTGGAACGGCGTTTCCTGGCCAGCAGCAAGCTCCAGATTGTCTTTGATTTCGTAGCTTCCAAAGGATTTCCATGGGATGAGTACAAGTTACTGAGCACCTTTCCTAGGAGAGATGTAAGTTCCCACACTTATCTCAGGAAGCATATCCTGGTGGGAGATGTGCCATCATTAAGCTGAACAAAGGAGTTCAAGAAAAGTCCCATGGTGCAGGCAACTCCAAGGCATCCCAGGAGTCCTTTGTTCTGCACACCATTCTCTCCTTAGCTTTTGGAGAATGTATGGCTTCTCAGGCCAGCAGACATAAACCCAGTAACCTATGTAAGAAATTAGGTACTAGATCTTCCCTCCTAGCTATTTTCCCTATTCCAGCATTCCAGTCTTTGCTCAGGTCTCATATGTATTCCTCAAATGAGATATATTCTGTAGACCTCAGAATCTACCCAAGAATTGTATGTTTAACAGCTTAACACTTAGATATCAGGATCAACGAATATAGGTTTACAAAGAATGAGTCATGCAAAACAAAGAGTATTTTGTGATTTGATAATCTTACTGGCCTGGGAAGTCAGAGAGGATGACCTATATTCACTGCGTACTTGATTTTCAGCACAATATTTGATAGTCTCTCATAGTATTCTGGGGCAAAGTAGAGAGATGTAGATACGTTAGATTCATTGCTGATTAAATGGTTGCGTCTAAAAAATGTTAACCACCATCTCCTTGTAAGGAACCAAGAGGCTCTGTTTTTAATCTTTTATTACTTACCTTATTTATTAACAACCTAAATGAAGACTTTATCAGATTTATAGATTATGAAAAATAAGATTCAAGAAATCTTAAAATACTAAAACTTACACAAAATGAAGCTGCAGAAATTTTACAGAAATATGTAGAAATAGTTTCCTTTAGTAGAGGTTAAGGTTTAATTAAGCTGAATATACATAAATAACATGTTGTGGCTGCCAACAAAAAAGCTAGCTCCCATTTAGAGGTGAAATCCCAACCAGAGGATAACATAATGGTCCTGTTTAGCTCTGCACTAAGATAAACTACCCCTGGGTGATGGGTGTACCAAAATCTCACTAATCACCACTAAACAACTTACCCATGTAACCAAATACCACCTGTTCCCCAAAAACCTATGGAAATAAAAAATTTTAAAAGCTACCCCTGATACCCCTGAAAGAGTCTTTCAGCTTCATGCTGAAAAAGGAAGCCTGAAGAAACAGGAGCATGTCTGGAGCAGGGTCGGTAGGAAGGTGAGGGAACTGGAAATCATCATTTGAGGAACATTACCTCTAAATAAGTAAAGACCAGAGCATTTTCTAAGAAAGGAATATCTTGTGTGGTGAAGTGTTAATTTTCCTGTCATTGGAGATTACCGGGTACTGCTCTTTTCAGCAGTAACAGATATATATGGAGAAGGATTCATCCCTGGTATTCCTGTTTTGTGTGGGATGGGACTTGGACTTGCTGTGATTTCATTATGCTAGGTTACTATACCTAATCTAGTCACCTAGTAGGTATAGTATAGTAACCTATATTAGGTATACCTAGATTAGGTATAGTAACCTAGCATACCAAAACCCAGAATTTCATTAAAGCTCATCTAAGTCTCTCATGTTGGCTGTCAGGTTTGTAGCTTAGAGACACAAACTAGTGCTGTCCCCTCTGGGTGGAAAGAGGATCTTGCCACTTGTTTATTTCTAAGCGCAGGAGACTATAGTGGATTCCCAGGTTCTGACTATTGTTCCTTTTCTCACTAGCCCTGCCTACTGCTCCAAGGTCATCCCCTTTATTTGCATATAAGGCACACAGGCATGCATAAGGGAACACATGCCTACATATGTTCTTATCACACAGCCAAGTAAGAAAACTACCTTAACTTCTGTCACTGAAGTTGAACTCTCAGTGTGTGAACATTTGACAAAGAACCATTATCAGAGAGTTCAAGATCAGCCCGGTTCTCATACTTTATGTTCTTTGACGAAAAATCTCACCTCAGAGAACTTAAAAAACTTAGGAGCTAAGTTTGCCCTTCCCAACCCTTAGGTTTAAGTCACTCCCTTTCTGGGTGGACCTCATTTTTAAAAATGGAGGTACTAGAAGAAATAGAGTCTAAGGACTTTATGTCTTTTGAACTTAAACTTTATTTTCTTCCAAATTAATTTTTAAAGCTTGTTACTGACAGCGATGGGGTAAAAATATCTTAAAAGAAGCTAGACTTTTTGATCAGTATTAAGAACTTCTTTCCACAGGGTAAAACTGTGGACCGTGGAAAGTTGCTATTGAAAGGAAACAGGAGAAATGTGTGGTGAATTGCAGAGTGTTCTTGGGCCTGCTACTATCTCCCTGTAGTTGCCAGCATAGTGCCTCACACATAAGCATCAGTAACTGTTGTTGAATGTTAACAACCTCAGGCTCCCCCAATCTCTGGTTCCAGAATGAACAGAGAGGCTGTTCCAAATAAGAACAGATGCTCTAGGCCCACCCAGATTCCAGACCTAAACTAAGAAAGCCCACCCAGGACTCTTTAGGCCTCCTAGAGCCAGGGGTGGGGTGAGAGTTAAAGACCCTTCATTCTTCTCTGAGTTCTCTTTCAAGTCAAATGACTAGTGTTTTTGCAAGGCTATTCTGTAACAGCCATCTGTGTCTGCAAGGATTAGGATCTAATTTGTAAAAGTCATCTTAAATTACAGCAAACTAAAGACTGTTAAAAAGCACATCTTAAGACCTTGCCTCTTTAATAACAAATAATATAAGCCTTAACTCTAGGAGTCTTAATTGTGTCTGCAGCCTTTTCTCCACAAAGCAGAGACTGGTTTCTCAGCAGAGGACCTGTTAAGTGTTCTTCTGTACCTCCCATGCCTGCTACCCACCCCCAACCAAAATACTTCATGTTAAGATTTCCCAGCTGTCTAACCATTTACTAAATGTCTACTGGGCATACTTCCCTGAACTGAGCACTGTACGACAACCAGAATAGCAGCAGACTTAGGCCTTCCCCAGAAAAGCTGATTGTCAAGTTGTGGAAGCATTGAGTTACTTGATTTTGAGGGTGTGTGTGTGTGTGTGTGTGTGTGTGTGTGTGTGTGTGTTTTTCCCCTATTTTGCTAATAACAATTACTAAGAGAAGGAATAGTATTTATTTCCAGAGCTCTACCTCTTAGACATGTTGGAGCCATGTGAACATCAGTGGCCCATTTGCCTTACTTGGGCATTGTCTTGGAAATGAGGTAGTTGAATCCTAAAAGCTGAGTAAGGGTACTCACCCCACTACTCTTCCTATAGTCCAACTCCTGTTTCTGCTGCCAGCCCCCAGCTCCTCTCCGGACCTACAGTGGCCCAGACATAGGCCCTTCCCAGAAAAGCTGATTATCACGTATGCCACTTGTTATGAGGTTGTCAGTATCTCCCAGCCTTCCTCTTCTGTGCCACTTCCTTATCTTCCCTTTTCTCCCCTCCCCACTTCTTCCCCTTCCCTTTTTTCTAATCCTATTTTACCAGTTTTATCTTCTCCCCCATCTTTCCATTCTTCCCTTCTCTTTATTTCTTTATCCCACAACTCTTCTCTCTGTTTTTTGTCTACCTATGTCCACATCCCTCAGAGGAGCTCTGCCTACAATTGGAAAGTGAGGTCTTTCAATTCATAAAACCAAGAATTCCATTAAGGCTCATCTAAGTCCATTTTTTGCCTACCCATATTCACATTCTTCAGAGGAACTGTACCTACAATTGGAAAATGAGATCTTTCAGTTTATAAGATGACTGGAAAGCACTAGAAAAGGAGGATGAGGGATGGCAGGTGAACTCCAAGAGTCCACTGATAGCCCATGTGTATTGCCAGTGATATAATCACACAACTCCTGTTCTAGCATAGAGAACATGCCTTTTTCCAGATTTATAGGTATGAATCCCCAAACAGACATGCATTCAGGAATAAACTATATTCTTATATTTTATATCTAAAACAAAGTAATGAAGGAATTGATATTTTGTCCCATCTTTCTAGGTTTCTTTCTGTGTAACTATAACTTAAAATTTTTGTGTCACCTCTAAGACTTAAAGGAGCAGGAGAATGAGTATAAGCACACTACAGCAGGATTTTCCTAGAGTAGGCCTTCAGTAAAGGTTTGTTTAAATATACTGGGGGAAAAGCCTTTCAAATTTATACAAATTCCTTCCTCTGTCACCCATCCACTTTTATTGTGCTAAGAACCAAGCTAAACAATGTAAACACAGTGAAGAAAAACAATGGCAAGCTACTGCTAGATGAAGTTTGACCTGACTTCATAGATAGCACAAGGATACTGTTTGCCACCATAAGGAAATAAAAGCAATTTAATTCATGTATTTGTTCTCTCCTTATTGCAAAACATTTGCTGTGCAACCACTCTGTGTCAGCCTTCATACCAGACGCTGGTGATACAGAAATTTTTTAAAAATTGTTACTGACCTTGAAGAGTTCACATTCTAGTAAAAACACACATTTAATGCAAATTGCATTACAAGTTATACCCACAGTTAGAAGGATAAGTAGTTCCAGCATTAAAAAGGAAGTGAATTTGACCTGAGCCTTGCACAGAGAGATGTTCAGTGAGTGGAAGCAGAATAGCATAGTCAGAAGCAAATGTTTCAGTGGTAGACTTGCATGTGAATCTCACTCCATTACACTGAACATTGGACAACTTACTGAACCCTGCTGAACTTTGATTTCTTCATCTTTGAAAGAGAAATGATAATATCTGAGAGGGTTGTGGTAAGAGTTATATTAAATGAATATAAATTACTATGTTTATACCACATAAAACCTAAATAGAGAGAGGCAGAAGAGGTGGGAAGGGCGTATAGTTAAAGAAAGCATGGCAGCAGTAAATTCTTTCTCTAGAACAGGGATGGATATCAAATTTGAGTTTCAAATATCTAGATGTAACCCAGACTTAAGAATATATCATTGAAATCTTAATATCTGATATTTGCAGAGGATCTCAGAGATATGAAGGCCAATGCTGCCACTTTACTGATGGGAGAATCAAATTAAGCACCTAAGTCACTTGAACAATTATAAAAGCAGAGCTGATACTGACACTCAGGTTTTTTCGTGGCCATTGCTT